TCATTTTTGAATTTTTCTCTCACAGGTAGGATACACTTTATCTATAACAGTCAAAAAATCAATTAATAAAATCTCCACCAAACAAGCTCTTAACGTGCTAAAGGATGACAGACAGAGGTTAAATGACAAATATTTCATAGTTGTGTTCACATTGTTGACTCGTGTATTTTGCGTGCAGTTGCAATTATAAATTTAAGTAACTTTAGATACGATTATATGACAGATGATAATAATAAAATTGAATTGTACTTGTGAAAGTGAGTATGTCACTTATATTTTGCATGTATATTCAATTATGACTTTAAACTATTTTCAAGAGAGACTTTGACATGGACATATGATCCAGGCCATGTTAGTATAAATCAAAATCAAATTTTTAGTAAATTTCGATAAAAATTGTTGAAAGTGGTGAATCTACTAAATATGTTGTTAAAATTAATATTTAACATTGATTTTCAAGTTTTATAAACTTGTAATCTACACAAAAACATAGGCTCAATAACATATGAAGACAAAATTAAATAATTTTCACTGATTTCCTGATAAATGAAAATATACATCAATCACAACTCCTTATTCTTTCTCTCACTCTATTAATGACACATTTTGATAAAATAATGAGGAAAGAAAAAGAAAGTATAACAAAGCTAATGGGATTTTTAGTGCTTATAAGTTGTGACTTGTGAGTTTTATAAACTTTTGAGTAATAAGTGAGTAATAAATTGTAGATTTTATGATATGTATGAATAAAAATTAGGTTTGATTGACTTAAATTAAAATTTAAGCTTTACCATACGTTCAATGTAAGTTAAAGAGTTATATCAGCCCCCAGGGCACATCTCCAAGTGGTAAAAGGGGAGGGTGGAAAAATCTAGCTTTGCTTGAGGCTGTCGCGTCAAGGGTTGGAATCCTGAAATATGGATTTGGCTCTTGGATAAGTGCAAGTGTACAAGCAGCCTTCCACCATGTACNCTAGCATATCTCCACACATAGTTGAGACCAACAAGTAGCTCAATAATCGATTCTTCTGTCTTCTCCTCATTTGCAAAGTAGAGGGTTTGTACAAGAAGCACATTTGTTCGGGAAACTAAGTTCTGGTGCTCGAAGCTCCGTTCAGACTGCCATTTTATCATGTTATGAGCAAGTGGAGCCAACCAATCTAGTCTATCCGACATTGCCTGGTTCCATTCTCCGGCAAGAGCTGAATCACAAAAAGACGAAGACAGACTCTTAGTACATGGCTTCAGTTTAACCCTGAGGCCCACCCTGATGCTAGCAGGCAACATGTTGTAAAGGTCAGTTCTTGCTTCATTACCAATCAAGTGAGGAGATGCCACCAATTTCTCAATTACGATGATAATATTTGCATAGTGCAGTGCTAAGGCAGCTGCACCAAGGGAATCCCGAGGGGCATTCAACAGTCGGTTCTTCGAACCAACTGATAGATTCCCATGAGCGGAGTTGCCATGAGAATGTAGTTCTGTACTGACATCCTTAGTCACGTCTGGAACTCTAACATTAACATCACCCATCATGCATCCTCCTGTTAAAGGTCCTGATGCGGTTAATCTGTTTGGTTTCGAATGCGTAATTTTTTGTTTTGAATTTGAAGATTTATTACGGAACTGCCACAACCTCATGGAGCTTTTGCTTGCTTTGGGTTGTGGGCCAGAATTTTCCGTTGACCTAACAAGAGGACCAGAATAAAAGCTAACAGCACTATGTTTTCCAGAGATCGGACCAGATGCTGTTATTGAATTTCCATGAGAGCCTGAATGAAAATCACTAACATTGTTTGCCCTCGCGATTGGACCTGACATAGAAATCTTGTTTCCTATTGAACCCGAAGAAAATCTAGGGATGCTATTTTCGGTAGGGTGAACTGATGATTGCATCAAGAGAATTGATTGGCTGCGACGACTATAATTAGAATCCAAAACTCTAGAATCTGTGACCCCCACTTCTGCCAAATGACTAATTCCAAAAACATGTCCAACCCTACTATGTATAGTAAATACAGATCTTGCTAAAAGATGAATTGTGTAATCATAAGTCCGATTCCAAAGAGAATTCTCCTTTAGATGCTTCACTTCTAGCTTCTTCCAAGCAACCTTCTTTTCGTATTCAACCAAACTAATGCTGTCCCCATTATTGTTACCCTTCATTCTCTTCAAAGTCTGCTCAAGATCCGCAAGTGTCTCCATTTCTTGATATAAATTGACATTTGTGATGATGAACCGCTTCATCTTCTTAGTTTTCTTGTCCATCTTATTCCATGTGAATTGCCAGCCAAATGTGTCAGCACCAATCATTATCAAATCATTATAGGCTTGCTCAAAACTCCTTAACATAGGATCACTACATTGCTTGGACAGCCTCGCCACAGCTCGTGACACTTGTCCTAAGTTCTCCATCATCTCTATGCATATCAACCTCATAATGCGATCATCATCCTCCGACACAAGCTTTTTAATTCCCACTGAATTTATTATCTCCTTCCTCAGTCTAGTAACTTCCTTATCAGTAAGTGACTGCCATAGGTGAAGAAGCTTTGACACCAAGCTTGCAGCTTCAAAAGCCAAAACCCCAATCCGTACCGTTTTGGAATCAAACTCGTGCTTCCTCGAAGTTCTCCACAGACTGCGAAACCATGATTCTGCAACCATTTCTAGCCTCTACAAAAATGAACAAGAATAATCTTTAAGAAAACTCCCAAGGAATGCGTCTTGATTCTGAAGTGAGAATAAAATAGTACACAAAAAAAAAAAAAAAAAGAAGAAGATGAAGAAGAAGAAGAAGAAGAAGAAGAAGGAGAAGGAGAAAGAGAAGGAGAAGGCTGCAAAAATTGTAATATTTATTTGCTAAAAAGTTTAAATAGAATTAGCTTTCTGCCCAATTTCCAAATCAGATAGTTCAAGCAAGTAAAAAGGTGAAAAAATAA